TTTAAAAAATATGTTTTTGTTGTACCAGTAAACATATTTGCAAGAAATATTCAACTGAAAAACGATGGGAAAACGACCGCTTGAAATAAAACTATATGTTGATATGAAAAAAAGAAAACAAAAAAACATTAGAATTTCCCCAAAAGTGATGAGGGAGGGGATGATAAACTAATAATTTTTTATATGTGGCGTTAAACGTGTATGCTCAGACTCTGTGATCTTTTTAGATTGACTAGTTGTACGTTCTTAAAATAGTTGGTGGCGAAGAATGAAAAAATAAAAAACCATGTTTTCAAAGTACCGCTTGTACCACTTATATGAAAACACAAGATTTACCCCCTTCTCTCTTCCATTTACTTCAATGTGCCGGTCTTATAAAAATTTTACCGTGGTATAAATCGAGTAATGTAGACTTGTAAATCATTTCATGCTCATTTTAATGGTTAGTATTTGTGCATTGAAATTGGAAGTCAGCCTATATATCGCTAATAAATTAAAGTATTAAAATCTTGTTTTTTTTTATTAGGACACTTCCTTACACCAAAAAAATATGTGAATGAATTTGTTGAAAAGCAAAGCCTCAAAAGCATACTTCAAAATACGAAGTAATATTGGGGAAAATTGTAGAATTACCATGAAACTTTTTAAATCATTAATTCTACCAATTCTATCCTATGGTAGCGAGGTATGGTCTATGTATCTACTTACCGGGCTTAACCATAATAATCTACATTCGATATGTAACAATTATTGTGGCGAACAGATTTATATTAAAATTTGCTTTGTTTTACTTGGTGTTAATAAACGAACTACAAACAACGCAGTCATAGGTGAACTAGTTGCTACCCCGTGTTAATATCCATGTTTAGTCATGCTGTTAAATATTGGCATTCTCTAAATAAAATAAAAAGGTTTTATGCTATTGATGCTTTAACCGATAATAGAAAACTTGACGATTCAAACAAATATGGATATACATGGTCGTCTGGTATTTCATCTTTACTAAACATGATAATGCTAATTTATTTTTATCCTGATGTTTATTGATAAGTAACAAATGCTTAAACAAGTGGATAATAAGAGTGGGAGCTTCCCACATGAAAGATTAAAAAAAAATCTTTACTAAATGAATGTAACTTAGATGATGTTTGGATTAAACCAAACACGTTCAGTGTATAGCTTAAATCTCAATACACGTATTACTGATTCGTTAAAAGATAACTTCTCTAATCAATGGTTATATAGTATTAATAACACTCAAAACAAGCTACGTAGGCCCTACTTATTGTAAATTTAAAACTACTTTTGCGTGCGAAAATTATTGTTTATTTTTTAAGAGAAGTTTTAGATCGTATTACAGTAAACTGATAACCAGTGCTCCCAATCTAATGATTGGGAGAGGTCGATATACTAGACCAACAATTAGTCCCGATGAGAGAATAATAGTAACAATTGTAATTCTGGTGAGGTAGAGGATGAATTGCACTTTTTAATAAACTGCACTCAATACTCTAACCATAAACACTTTATTTTCGAACGTTGGGGATAGTATAAACAACTTTGATAGCTTAAATGACTATGATAAATTCATTAGTATCATGAGTAGTCAAGATTTTGACATTTTGCTGCCTATCCACAAATTCACACGAGCTGTTTTTATGGAGAGGGAAGTCTCTGGAATCTAATGCTTCTTGTATTGTCTCGTTGTAATTGTATTTCTTTAATGTTGTTTTATCAAGATGTTTGATATATCAATAAAGTAACCAATCTAAAATCTATTATATTATATATTATTATTAATATATTATATAATTATATTATATATAGGCATATTATATACATATTAGTACATATTAAGCCTATGTATTATATTATTACACTGTATTATGCATGTGCCTATAAAACGAACATTGAGAATTCCACAACCAAAGGTCCAATACTATCTTAATTTTGATTTGTGATAGACCGTTATATAACTATCATTAAGATAAAAAAGAAAAATAGGGATCTTTGTTTTGGGTCTTCAGTCGCCGGTTTTCGTTTTGTAGAACGAATGCATTGGTAGTGCATTGTTTCATTGTTTGCGCAAGACGCTAACTCAATCTCAAAGCAAGCAAATCATCATTATATAGTGAAAATTACGTTTTTGTGTCTTTTACGACCGCTAGGTAGTCACGGACCACGCCCATACTTTACCCTTCTATAGCTATGTTAATAATGAAATATATAAAATATATTTAAATATACAATTTAAAATATCATAAAAATTCTCTTGCCATTCATTGTTTTCACCATGTTTTTGTGACAGAACGCGTTTGAGTGTTGCTGAAAGTTTCGTATCATTTTTACGACCACTAGGTAGTCACAGACCACGCCCATACGCAATTCAGCACAATGACGCTGTGAGTTATGGATTATTCTCCTACCTTTACGTTACTTTACCCTTCTATGGCCATGTTATTAATGAAATATATAAAATATATTTAAATATACAATTTAAAATATCATACAAATTATCTTGCCATTTCGAAAGTTTCGTAAAATGCGTTACGGAAATCCGATAGTCGACACCAGTAAATTAGTGGATTGATCATTGAATTTTTAATCGTAATAAAATGTGAGATAATATAGATGAAAATGTAAGGTATTTCGACCTCCGAAAAAGAAATCAAAACGCTAATTACCAAATATGGTAGTTGATATAATGAAAAGTCCAATTATAATTGAAAATGTCTTCAGAAGTTTTTTCGATCTGCTAAGTCGTGGACGCCTATAACATCAGTAAGACGTTTATCATACTTACATATGATCTGTTAGAATATGAGATAGAAAATAGCGGTTGCTTTCATGATACAGCTCGTTGAAAATATTTTCTACGAGTGTTTTTCCTTTAGTTAAATAGAAGTAATAAAATGGTTGTATAACCATCTACAAAAACAAGCAATCCAAAGGCGTTTAGTAGTGACGACGCTTGGATAATGTAAAGGCATAAACACCAGTGCAAGTGATCTCTCCACTGCCACGGCTGTAACATTCAAGACTGATGTAAAAATCAAGGAATATGTAGGTAAGACGAAAACAAACACCAAATCCACATCTTTTGTAATGTATACAGATATAATAGCTATAATATACACAATACCAATCATGCAGCACATAAACCAGTGAGAGAACGAATATGTTGTGTTTTTTTCTAAGTAGTTTAGAATTCATGATAACAAGAATCACTACGACATTGTTCATCACTACTGGAGTGGGGCCTACAAATCATCAACGCAAGTGTTAGATATAAGTTTGAATGGCTCTCGAGTAAAAATCGATTATATTCGTTAGCAAAATCGAAGGTTCCATTTTCACAAGACATTTTCAATATAATCTTTATTATCGTATCAGCTGTTTAACGTAGTCGCATTCGTTATGGTAATATTACAACCACAAACTGGACTAATAGAGATTAAAGTGTGTATAGCCAATTTTTAAAGCATATAAGAATTTATGATGTAACTGGTCACTTATCATTGCATCTTGTATAGGCCTCTCTTGGTTTATAATTGTAATGAGATGCAAAAGCAATTATAATATTTAAATTCCATAATAAATTTATTTCAGCATTGTTCCTTCAGAATCACAATCAATTAGAGTGCCTCTTATACATTTTTAAAATACCATGCAACCAAGACGTATATTTTCTAACCTATAATATTTACATCGATTTACATTGATTTGAATTTTTCTATTAAAATGTTGGTTGTATAAATCCATATATTATTTATGTACATACCAGATTGATCCGGTTTGATTTAGTGCTACATTAGTAAAATCACACGGTACTACCGTACCGAATATAACGTAGCTTAAACAGGCTCACCCAAAATATTCATAAGACACGTTATAACTTTTGAGTTTTACGAAACACCACATCTACCAAAAGTGTCACTGAAAGCTATACGGAAGTCCGAAAGTCGACACCAATAAATAAGTGGGTTGATCATTGAATGAGCAATCGAATTCAGATGCGTGATAAAAAATATGACATAGTAAGATTTTCCAAATGAACATACAATATTCGGAAATGAAACACTTATTAAGCCAATGCATATATGTGGTGACCATGATACAATGAAAAGTCCAGTTATAATTGAAAACGTCTTCAAAATTTTCTTTGACTTTTTGACGTCGGTAACACCCATAGCCGCAAGACGTTCGTCTGATTTGCATATGTTCTTGTATATTAACACATAAAAAACAGCTGTGGCTATCATACTAAATAAACAGCACGTTGTAAGCAAATACACAGTTGTACTTGGATTATTGTAGAAGAATGCAAATGGCTGTGTCGCAAGGGGTACTACCCATAAAATGATACAAGCAATCGAAAGACGTTTAGTTGTGACCTCACTTGAATAACGCAAAGGCATAAAGACCAGTGCAAGAGATCTCTCTACAGCCACGGCAGCAACATTCAATATCGATGTAAGAATCAAGGAAAATAACAGAAAACCGAGAAAAACCAAATCCCCAAAGATACTCTGGTTGTAGAAATACAGAATTTGTACAGCATTTACGATACCAATCAAAAAATCGCATACTGCCAATGATAAGACAAACATATTGTGCTTTTTCCTAAAGAGTTTTGTCTTAGTGATTACAATAATCACCACTAAGTTGTTAAGCACCACTAGAACACAGAACATGAAAATAATGCTTAAATACACATTTAAATTTTCCTGTAAAAAGTCCATATATTCGTAACGATAATCAAATGTTTCATTCGAACACGCCATTTCAAACAATGTTGATAAGTTGAATCAGGAAACAGTGGAATTACACTGTTCTCTGGTTGAATACTTGTATTTAAGTAGAATGCAGTCGTTAATGTAAATGAGGTATTGGTGCTGTCACTTCAGTTGACACAATACTGCTATAACAACGCAGTCATTTTTAATATTTATTCTGGTTTAATTATAGGAACAGTTGATTGTTTGTCACATTTAAGAGTGATATTGCAAGGACCATGCAAATGATGTCACACGAGTGTAGGCGGATTTCAATAATATGATATTTTATCAAGTAGGCCTATGGTCAAATGATTCACAATAGATGTAGTAAAGACTAGAACCCTACCAAACTCATATTGCACACATTTTCGACGTTGTTCTTTGCTATTACTTTTTATTGCGATAAAACGCCACATCTGACAAAAGTGTAGTTAAAAGCGTTACGAAAATCAGACATTCTACACCAATAAATAAGCGGGTTGATCATTGAACTTACAATCGTAATCAAATGTGAGATCATGTACACGAGAATGTAATTACGCCCGATTGAACATGCAATCCTCGGAATAGAAACACATATGCTAATGACTAGATACGGCGACCACAATGAGATGGAAAGTCCAATTATAATTGAAAACGTCTTTAAAAGATTCTTAGATCTATTTACGCCTTTGACACCCATAGCCGCAAGACGCCCATCAGATTTCGATATGCTGTGGTATATTAATCCATAAAAGATAGCGGTTGTTACCATACCAAATAAACATCCCATAGGGAATAACCGCAACTTTATTTTTGGTTCAATATAGAAGTATAGAAGTGGTTGTATCGCAAGTGGTACCATCCATAGGAAGAAACAAGCAATCGAAAGACGTTTAGTGGTGACGACACTTGCATAGCGCAAAGGCATAAACACTAGTGCAAGCGATCTCTCCACTGCCACGGCAGTAACATTCATCACCGATGTAATAATTAAAGAATATAAAATAAAACTGAGAGCAATAAACGCTACAACAATTCGATTGTGTAGACATATAGCATAAATGACGTCAGCGATACCAATCATACAATCGCTTACTGCCAATGATAGAACGAAAATGTTGTGTTTTTTTCGAAGATTTTTTGTCTTTGTGATTACAATAATCACTACTAAGTTGTTTAACATCACCGGTACACAGATTGTAAACACCGTGCATAAATATAACAAAGAATGTTTCTGTAAGTATTGCACATACTCAGAACCGAATTTGAAGGTTCCATTTCCATTTGGACACGACATTTCGATCAATGCTAATAGCTTTAAACTTAATTTTTCGCATCGGTATCTAGTTAAATTTACTGCAACATTTAATGAACTATAATGTGACTCTCTATGTGATAGAAAGTCAAATACCAGTATGATCTAAACAGAATAACGGTAAAATTGTCCAATGAGTCAAAGAAGAGTAAATTTGCGAGATCCCTGACCGCTAACAACGCCGTTTATAAACCCTTTCTCTTAGAAGATCAGCTTGGACGAGACTATGATGATTATTGGCTATATGCTGATTAAATCCATTCACCATTGGTATCAACAAAAGACGACAGGTTATTTGTGGGGCGATAATACCACAATGTCATCCTCAATTTCAACCTTTGCTTTATTGTTATAATAAGTGAAAATCACACACACAACCATTTTGAAATCGGAAGTCTAAATGCTTGAACACTCATGTGTATAATCGATCCCCTCTGCGTCGGGATCTTATTAGGCTGCAGCTGTATTAATCTGATGAAAAGTATTTTTTCAAAGTCTCTCTCTTCAGTAGAAACACAAGTATAATAATCTCTAATGTTACTCAACATTAAGTATGTGGCTCATATACACTAACGATGAAATTACATATACGCATGTCCAATGAGTCAAACAAGGTTGCATTTGCGAAATCCCTAACCGTTGACAAAGTCCTAGTGTCTGGAATGTCTTTAATTTTTGTTTTAGATGAACGTGAAATAATGTCTAGCTTTAGGCCTATGTGATTGGCTATTTGTTTGTGGGTGGTGATAATAATATGGTCTTAAATCTTGATTGATCACTATTGTTAGTTATATGATTAGAAAAATGAAAACTAAATGCATTCACATTTACCGATTTGCTTTACTGTTGATTAATGGCATGAGTAATTACAAGTATCTGTCTTCATAACAAATAAAATAACGCCCTCATTTTAGATGTCTGAATTAGATACTATTGTAGAAAATGCAACCAAAGGTAGTTGTCTTGTTCTTATGTTTTTTATAGAAAGGGTCAACATTGCCGTTTCGCCTGGGTATGCCGCCCTAATTTTACGTTGCAACCTCTCGTGTCTTAACATAATCATTATTTCTGTTACAATTATCATCATCATTATTACAATTATCATTATCAATTTCATTAATATTGCCTTTGCAATATGTACGTCGATTTATAATCAGGCGGTACTGGGGAGCGACACCTTGATTTCCGCAAACACAACAGACATCCATTCCGTCTGTCCACAACACAACAAACACCACAACTAAAGTCCTTTTTTGTAAGAACGGCAGGCAGTACTGGAAAAGTAAATACACAATTAGTTTCTGAGCCCTTGTCTTTGAGAAAAGTAAAAGTCGGTGTGCCGAACTCCCTCGTATACTGCAGAAAACAGATGTCCAGCCATTTTAGAAGGTGTGCATTTACATCAACGATTGCCATTAAATGGTAAATGTTTGATCATCACTGTATCCACGGGCGGCAGAAGCGCGGGGGGGGGGGGGATTAGCCATTCCAATGTCATTATTATTATTTGCGCCTTATAATTTACCTATTATACAATATACATTTTTTTTTCATTTTCAAAAGAACATTAGAAGTTCCCTTTTATTCAATTTCAAATCTTGGCTTACTAATACAATAAGAGAAAATTATAATTATTTCGACATGAATAATTATTTGGCGAAACCAGAATTATATATATGGCTTACCGGTATGTAGAGACAACGATGACGTTACATAGGCCAAAGCATAATCTCCAATGAGTCATACAAAAACGTATTTGCGAAATCCCTGACCGTTGACAAAGTTGTAGTGTCTGGAATGTTGCTTTTTTTTATTTTTAGTTCGAAATTGGTCTAGCATAGGTCAGTATTAAAATATTGTTTCTGCAGATATGTGTAATGTTCCAAATCAGTGTTGGTATTCACTGCAGATCTAACATGCAAACAACGCCGGGTTTTGAATTAAAATCCGTTTATTACAAAGAGAAAAATTAAACATTTTTCAGATTATCTCGTATAAGAAAAAAATTAATGATGACGTATGCTGATAATATGTATATCTTTGTATCCATTCATCAATGTCATATAAATGAATTTGTTGTCAGTGGCGGCCCAAATTACAGGTTGGAACCGAAGCTGGCAAAAAGTGATTAGACGTTTGTGGATGGTGATGATAATATTGTCTTAAATCTTGATGGATCAATAATGTTAGTTGTATGATTAGAAAAATGGAAAATAATGCATTCACAAACCACCGATTTGCTTTCCTGTTGATTAATGGCATGAATAACAAGATAATGAAAATAAAACCCACGCCCTGTTGCTCCAAATCTATAGTCGATTCGCTGGTTGTTGTGTTATGGTGTAATATATTACTAACTATACGGTGTAGTTATCAGGTGAGGTGTAGCCGAGCGGTAAACGTGCACGTATTTGTGTAAAGTTAATCGATGTATGGAGTTTGAATCTCCCTCTTCTTTTGTAAAAAAAATATTATTATTATTATTATTATTATTATTATTATTATTATTATTATTATTATTATTATTATTATTATTATTATTATTATTATTATTATCATCATCATCATTAATATTAACTTTTTGTTATTTGTACATTTATAGAATACTTTTTTCATATTTCATTATTATTCATATGCGGATATGCGGCCGGAAAATATATAAAATATTTTAAAATCTGCATCTTACTTCTCCAATCCAAGCCAAACGAGGCCTAGCATCGTAGGCCTCAGGTGGTAAACCAATCAAATGTAGGCCTATTTATCTGGTTCTTCGCCTGGGTAGGCACCACTTAATTGTATGGTGCAACCACTCACTTTTTGACATTGTTATTACCTGATCACCCTTATCATCGTCATCATCATCAGCAGCAGCATCACTAACAACATATTCAACATTTCAAGGGCTATATAGGCATAATAGAAAAAAAAGAACATATATTGGTACAACACACGCAGTCAATATAATTCCATATTTCAGCTTGAGGGAAACATAAACGTTTACTTGTATTTCACTGAATCATAAGCCGGTTACTCACTGCGTGCGACGGCGACGCGACGAAGAACGCACCCGAAGACGCGGAGACCCACGGATCGTCTTTTTAATGAGGATCCGTCAAAGAACTTAAATAGCAGAAGAATGAGCTGCTCCGCGTATTTGCATTAAAATTGATGGAACATTCGCCCTCCTGCGGATGAGGTAAAATTTGAACATTTTACTAAGTGGAGAAACTACAGGAAACAAACGAACCAGAACGGCCCTTTTATTATCCGCCGTGCGGATGACGTAAAATTGCACTCCGTGTACCCACAATGCCTTTTGAACGGATGTTCCACTATATTGGGAAGCTGCTCTATATCTGCTATTTATTATCTTTGGATCCGTTCAGATTGCCACTGACAATCAGCAGACGGCGTTGCGTCGTCTATCGCTCGCCGGAAGCAAATGTGGATTCGTCATGCGACGGTCCGAATTAGCTGCTCCGCCTTCACTTCACTTCAATTTTTTGAAAAATGTAGGTAGGGGGGGGGGGGGGGGGCGGGCTTGAATCCACCACTGACTTTTCAACTACACTCGGTTTTCAGGCACACTCAATCGATTTTCGTCAAGCACATAATCGGTTTCTCAGTGAATTTCTGACATTACGTAAAGAAAATAACTGAGTGAGATAACATGCATCATGCAACCAATCTTCAATTCTTCCTATCTCCTTGTTTTTTTCATCTAAACTAATCGCGACGTTCACGCACTAGAGGGTGCGCTCGCTTACCCTTTGTCATCATCATAAACATTACTATCACACCACCGCCGTTCTCATCTTCCTCGTACTGTCATCATAATTTTCATCATTTTAATAATCATCATTATTATTAGCCCTATTGTTCTTACAGTACCGTATTATTTCTATTATTACCGTATTATTTCTATTATTATCAATGTTATCATTATATTATTTTACAAACAACACAACAGTTTTCAACTTCATGATAGGCGGGACCACAGAATAACAAATATGAATTGATTGCATACTTGCATAGCGCAACGGTTTAAAAATTAGTGCCAGAGATCTCACCACGGGCATGACAGTATCATTCACTGCCAGCACTTCAGTTGACAAGTTACCACATTGTCGCCATTTTTAATTTCATCTTGTTTCATTATAAGAAGCAGGGAATTAATTTTGGTTTGACATCTCAAAGAAAGAGCTGACGAACTTGCGAGTGAATATGACACAATGAAATCTAGTACTGTCGTGTTGATAAGCATTAGCAAAATGTTGTCGGTTTTGGTCATGGGGCACTGTTCCATGGTTTTGATTGATGACATGCATCCTCGGCTGTTCTTACCACGGGGACTACAACAACAAGGTTCATTTTATCGCAGATATTGGCTCTCAAGATTGTTCCCTCTTGTCACTTAACGAAAATACTGGAAAAAAAATTTATCCAATCTTTATATCATGACGTACATTTTTTTTTTAAT